CGGAGCCCCTGGCGGCGCCGGGCGCCGGGACCGCGGAAGCCCAGGTGAGGCGCCTGGGAGGACCGGGCTTGTCAGGTCCTGCCTTTCCTCTCGGAAGTCCCGGTTACCTGCCCCCCGATTTGGTTCCCAAGTCTGTCCCCGCGGGGCTGCCCTTCCAGTGAGATCTTGGTGCGAAGGTTCGGGTAAGTTCGCGCCCCGTTTTTCTCCCTGAGCCGGGGTGTTGGAGGTTCAGTGTGGATGTCAGGGACTCGGAATTCCGGGACGGCAACCGTCGCGCCCAGGAAGGGGACCGTCTGAAAAGGAAGCGGCCGGCTGTTAGCGGTTTTCCTGGGCGAAGTGGCCCTTCTTTAGAAAGAAAAATAGATTTTACATGTATGAAGACTTTCGACTTTTCATTTTGATGTGGCTCCAAAAGATGGGGTACTGAGAATTTGTTCAGGATATTTCAAGTCACAAAGGATGGGATACTGAGAATTTGTTCAGGATATTTCAAGTTGTGCACTTTAAAATTTACTTATTTTTGATGGGTCTAGGTCAAGCTGGAAATTAGTTTCAGATGGTCAGTGTCTATTTGCTAGGCAATAGGACATAACTTAAAAAACTAAGTTTTTGTTTTGTCAAATCGAGTGTTATTACTTAAAATTAAGGGATGTTTTACGTTTAAGTTGAGATCATAAAACGTTATTAACATTTTAAAAATCTGATAGCCGTGTTTCTAATAATAACTTTTATCAGTTTCATTTTAGGCCTGGGCATTTTATGAACCTTGACTAGCATAGGCAAATGCTCTACTTCCTTGTGTTTACAAGTGCCACATTTGGTGGCCATTTAAAATTATATAGTCATTATTGAAGCCTAATGATTTTTGCTCTTCTGTGCAATTTAAATTACCTGTGCTTATCTCTGATTTTGCACTTAGACGTCACATTCTAATTATCTATTTTTCTTTCCCACTAGATTGTGAATTCCATCAGGGATATGATTTAATCTTCTCTGTAGACACAGGGCTTGACACATAGGAGAGGCTCAAATGTTTATTGAATGAATAAATTAATATACATATTTAGACACTCACTGTAATACATTGGATGGAGTTCTGTTAACTGTTTTAAACACTTGCATGCATTTTGATCTGGGTTTTATATCCATGGAAAAAATTGCATTGTATTCGAAATAAAGTCTGTAGAAACTTAGAGTATTATACTGTGAAGAATACGATTCTTTCTTTGTGGTCTCTTAATCCAGTAAATGACATCAAGAAGGCATTTCCTGCTGCTTTGTCATCCTTAGCAGCTCTGCTGAAACATTAGTGGAGTGAGCATATGCGAAATGTGTTTACCGTTGAAGACGTAGAGCTGACACACACCTTGAGGGAGAACTAATATGCAATACCAACAGTGCTCTATTTAGTCTTACGTTGAAGAAAGTTTTTAAACATGAGGACTTCAGTATGATCATTGTCTATAAAATCTTAATTTGAAAAGGAAGTTTGTTATTGTAAAAGTGATAATGTGCATTGAGAAAAATTAAGACAATATAGAACAGTACAAAAAAACAAATAAATAAAAAGATGGGAGAAAACCCCCCCCAAAGTCTTGCTACTTAGAAGTAACCCAAACATTTTGTTGAACAAACTTTTAAACACCTCTCTTTGTATTCACATGATGCCAACACGTATTTTGTGTTGTATGTGGGGTCATATTTCTAATTTTTTTTCAGTGAGCAGTCATTAGCAACCTTCCATGTCAGTACATGGAGCTGTGTTTTATTGTAAATGGGTGTATAATATTCCATCTTATATACTTACCCTAATTCTTAAAATCTATACTCAGAATGGTACTCAGATGGTGGGCATTTTTTAAAAAAATATGTTTTTATTTATTTCAGAGAGAGGAAGGGAGAGGGAGAGAGAGAGAGAGAGAGACATAAATGATAAGTCATTGATAGGCTGCCTCCTGTATGCCCCCTACTGGGGATCAAGCCTGCAACCCCGGGCATATGCACTGACCACAGAATTGAGCTGTGACCTCCTTGTTCATAGGTGGACACTCAGCCACTGAGCCATGCAGGCAGGGGGCAGAATGGTGGGTATTTTGGTTGTTTTCATCTTTTCTTTCTCACCTAAGCACTTTCTGTTAACTCTTTCTGTGGATATTTTTGCATACCCATGTGAATGTCTCCTTTGGGTAAATTCTTAGAAGTGACATTTCTGGGTTAAAGAAAATGCTTACTTTAAACACTTTTGTATCCTATATTGCCTTCCAAACATTTTGTACTCACCTCAAGTAATGCATAAGAATACCCATTTTCTCACACCTTTAAAAGCACTGGGTTTTGTCCATTTAAAAAAATCTTCACTCCTGGCAGCTGGGCGTGGCTCAGCAGTTGAGCATCAACCTAGGATCCAGGACATCAGGGTTCAATTCCTGGTCAGGGCACATGCCTGGGTTGCGGGCTCGATCCCCAGCTGGGCGTGCAGGAGGCAGCCAATCAGTGACTCTCATCATTGATGTGTGTGTGCCTGTCTGTCCCTCTTCCTTCCTCTCTCTGAAATAATAAAAGATATATTTAAAAAAAAAAATCTTCACAAAAAATAAAATCTTATTTTCTTTACATTTCTTGATTATCAGTGAAATTACACGTCTTTCATTATCTTTATTGGCCTGATGTATATTTTGATGTTTGCCTGTAGCTCAGAGAGAGAAAAATTTGAGGGAGAATGGATGCAAAAGCTCGAAATTGTTTGCTTCAACATAGAGAAGCCCTGGAAAAAGACATCAAAACATCCTACATAATGGATCACATGATTAGTGATAGAGTTTTAACACCTTTGGAAGAAGAAAAAGTGAAAAATGAGGTAAAGCCCTCAGAAGCAGTCTATGCTTCCTTTAAAATTAGAACTTATATGCATATATGCATAACCCAGGGACACAGACAATAGTTCCATGAAGGCCTGGGTGGGGGAGCGGGGTCAATGGGGGGGAAAGGGGGACATCTGTAATACTTTCAACAATAAAGATAAATTTTTAAAAATAAAATTTTTAGAATTTATTTCAGAACTTGCACTGGTCTCCACTGATTTGTTGCAAACATATTCTTTATAGTACACTGAACTACTGCTTTTTTTTTTTTTTTAGCCCACTCAACAGCATCGAGCAGCTATGCTAATAAAAATTATACTTAAGAAAGATAATTATTCCTACATATCATTCTATAATGCTTTACTACATGAAGGTTATAAAGATCTTGCTGTCCTTCTCCATGGTGGCCTTCCCGATGTCTCTTCTTCCAATGACAAAGATTCAGCTGGTGGAATAACTTCGTATGGTTTGTGTGCATAATACTTGTACCTTCTGTCACATTGCTGTCACAGTGGCTACATTGCTGCAGTTTTGTCTTATTGTAGATGGAATCTGCTAAACAGACTGATTAGTTCACTGAAAAATGTGTGTGAAAAAATTACATTTTCCAACCTAAATATTTTTATTTGCATCAGTATTAACTCACATTTTCTTCTTGCCCCGTGAGCTATCTACTGCTCCGAGGTAATAATAGATATATCCTAATTTTTAGAGATGATAGGATGATTTATAGGCCTTTATTTAAGTTCCTCTCCAGTTCTGTGTTTATCAAGTTCATGCATAGGAAAGAATAAGAATCTTTAGAAATCTAAGTGTTGTTTTTTTAAAAATATGTCTTTATTGATTTTAGAGGAAAAGGGAGAGAGAGAGATAGAAACATCAATGATAAGAGAGTCATTGAGTGGCTGCCTCCTGCATGCCCCCTACTGGGGACCGAGCCCACAACCCGGGCATGTGCCCTGACCAGGGATCAAACCCCGATCGCCCGGATCCTAGGTTGATGCTCAACTGCTGGGCCATGCCCAGCCGGGCTAGAAAGCTAAGTTCTTGAAAGGAATTCCATATCCGTCCCTTTGCACTCTCCTTCCCAGCCTTTAATATGAGAGAAAGAGATTGGAAAGTCAGAGAGAAATAGGGTAAGGGCAGATATAGATGGAGATTTCCATTGTTTATAGTTGTCTTGAAAGGTATATATTCGCTTTTGTTCTGAGTTTTCTGAAAAATCAGAAATTTGAAGTTAATATGCTAGCCACATTCAGCCTGTTGTCTTTGGTTATTATGATACTGTTTAAGTAACCGTTTCAAAGTTCTATTCATGCTTATTTTGCTTTGGATTTCAGTAAGAACAGTCCTGTGTGAAGGAGGAGTACCACAGAGGCCAGTTGTTTTTGTTACTAGGAAGAAGCTGGTGAATGCAATTCAGCAGAAGCTCTCCAAACTGAATGGTGAACCGGGATGGGTCACTGTATATGGAATGGCAGGCTGTGGGAAGACTGTATTAGCTGCAGAAGCTGTTCGAGATCATGTCTTCTTAGAAAGTAAGTTTTGATTACCATGTGTTGCTGGCTAAGCAGATATTCTTTAGTCATCCTGTTAATTTCCTGTTGCTGCTGTGACAAATTACCAAATATTTGGTGGCTTAAAATAACACAAATTTATCGTCTTATAGTTCTGGAGGTTATAAGTCCAAAATAAATCTTACTGGACTAAAATCAAGGTATCAGCAGGACTGAGTTCCTTCTGGAGGCTCTAGGGTAAACTATTTTCCAGCTTCTAGAGGTGGCCTGATTCCTTGTCTCATGGTCCCTTCCTCCATTTTCAAATCTGGCAGTGCATGGCATTTTCAAATCTTTCTCTTTCTCTCTGATCTTTGCTTTTGTCAACGTATCTCCTCTGACTCTGACCTTCTTGCCTACCTCTTACAAAGGCCCTTGTGATTCCATCATCACAAGGATGATCTGGGATAATTTCATCTCAAAATCCTTAATTTAATTGCATCTGCAGAGTCCCTTTTGCCTTGAAAGATAACTTTTACAAATTCTGTGGAATGGGATGTGGACATCTTTGAGGGGCCCATTACTCTGCCTACTATAGGTATGATTAAATTTGAAATTTATTTTCTACCTAGCCTGTCACAATGAAGCGTGGCTAGCCAGGCCAGTCATATATTATCAGATGGAAAGAAGCTAGTTCCCCTTTATCTTAACAATTGAAGGGATTAATAGAGTTGAAAAAGGATCTGGAAAGATTATATACCTGCCTTTCACGCAGTACTAGACTTAAACCTTCCTGTCATAGAGTGCTGTAGGGAAGGAGCTTCTTGGAAACTCAGTTCCATTAATGCCTGTCCCAGTGGGTGATTGTCTCATGAATCTGGCATCCTGTATTAAACTATTAATTCCATTTCTATAATTAATTTTATCAGTTGCTTATCTTTAAAAGTAAAAATCTTTAGTAACTGGTCTATCTATGGTAAGCCCCAAGCAAAAAAAAATTGGGAGCTGACTGTAGCAACTGATAGGTTTTTCTGTAGGTGGGCTTTCTAGATTCATTTGATACCTCGTGACTGACTTTTCTTGATTCAGGTATTCATGTATTCAGTAAATGTCTGAGAGCCTGCTGTGGTGCTCGGCACTGCTTTGGGCACTGGGGGTCCAAAAAGAAGGCACAGTCTGCTCATCTAAGGAATTCACTCATGTTCTAGTAGGGGAGACAGACGTGTAAACAAATTATGATATGTGGGGTAAACTGAACAGTAGAAACAAGTATACGGTACAGAGCTAGAATAAAGGAAGGAAGCATTGCCTCTCTAGGGAAAGAGGAGATGGGCAGAATAGGGTTCCTGAGTGAGATGACATGTTGGTGATGTGTTAGCTGGAGTTTGGAGGAAGAATAGGGGTGGGAGAGTAGGGGCGGTGGGCAGGGTATTGGGTAGTTCCTGGAGTGGGGAAGGCCATACTGTACAGAAGAGGGTTTAGGACATTTGGCAGGTGTACTTCGGCCTTAAGGAGTCTGATAGGCTCTCAGGGTGTTTGTCAGGAATAGTCCATAGCTCCTTCAGTCTTTGGTCACCTCTATTCTTTAGTGAGTTCTAGGGGAAGTTAAGGGCAGTTCCTGATTTCTAGTTGTCAGTGACTTTTAAATTTATAATACCTAGTTAGCCGTTCAGACCCTTTATGATGACAGAATGAATGGAATAAATATTGAACCTCTAACAGATTTGGAGATGTGGAGGCTAGGGCACACCTGTTGTATACTTCAGGCCTTTGTCAGCAGTGTTGATCTTACTCTTGTTGGGAGTAGGTCCAACTCCTAAAGCCTGTTTTTTCCCCCTTTATCATTATAGAGAAGTTTCCTGGAACTCAGCTCTATGCAAGTCTCAGGCTCAAGGATGATATTAATTATTTAATTAATTAATTTTTACCTCTGCTGCAAAGTTGATCACCAAGGATATTTTAGGATAAAATGGGATTAAGTTCCTTTAGTGTGAAGAAATCCCCCCCCCCGACATTATGATGAACTTCCTATAAAATACACATATAATGTACTGATTTATAGGATTAAAAGCGTAACCCTCGGCTCAGTTGAAATCACTCAGTCATTGGGGTGAATTTTCAATTTTAGCAGTTAAAATTGACAAACAACTTAGGAATTAATTGCTTGGAAATCATATTGTACAAATTGTGCTGTTGGAATAGATTTTAACTATTTTGTTTTGAGAAAATGTCAGCGATAGCAATTTTCTGGTGCGTAGTGAGCATAATTTGTATTCCTCATATGCTTTTTTGTGAGATCTCAAGTACAGAGGTTTGAGTGTTAATCGTATTTTCTAGATCACAGTCCTTATCATATTAAGTCTGTATAAGACTTAGCTTCTTGCTGTTTTTCCTTTTAAAAATTTCCCATTCTTATTTCCCTTCCCCTCCTCTAAGGAAAAACATACTCCTATCTGTCTCCTCTACACAACTACAACACTACTTCATTTCTGACACCACATGTGTGAGTTTCCCACACGTGCAGCAATTCTTTAACACCAGCTGGTGTCCTATGATTTAAACTTCATCCTGACACTATCTATATGGAGGTAGTGTCGGATCCCACTGGTTAAGGGTTCAGTCCCACAAGACTGCCCCCCTACCCCTCACCCCCACCCTCCACTTTAGATGCCAATCACAATTCCAGATTGTTACCTGTGCATCTGACCAGAGGTTCCCTCTCCTTGGGTTTAATTAATTTGCTAGAGTTGCTCACAGAACTCAGAGAGACATTTTACTTACTAGATCACTGGTTTATTATAAAAGGTTATGTAACTCAGGAACAGCCAGATGGAAGAGATGCGTAAAGACAAAATATGTGGGAATGGTGTGGAACTTCCATGCTCGCTCTGGGTGCACTACTCTCCCCACACCTCCTTGTGTCCATCAACCCAGAAACTCTGAACCCCACCCTTTTGGGTTTTTATGACGGCTTTATTACATAGTCACGATTGATTAAATCATTGGCCGTTGGGGATTGAACTCATTCTCCAACCCCCTCCCCCTGAGTTTTTAAAGAATGGAAGCTTTCTCCAGAGGCTGCCTACCTATTTGCTTCTGTCCTTCCCAAGATTTTCTTGATGCTATTAGATTATTAATTGCTACCAGGATAAACCTCGTGTGAAAGTAGGATGGGGTTAATTCTCTCTGAATACAGGCAATTTTTCTCTGATTAAGTTTCTCTGAGTGAATTACAGAAATCATTCAAGGCTAAATTGCTCCCTCTTGTGCCCGTAGTTAAGATTCTTTCTGAAATGTGGATTGAATTCTTCAGTATTTGTCATTTTGTGATGGTAGGAGTTTTGCAGATCTTTAGGTCATTGTCTTTGTCTTTATTTTTAAAAAATAAAACTTTTTTTATTGCATATGTTTATAATGCCCTCATCTAGTTTTAAATTTAGGAAAGACCTTTGGTGTAAGCAATAGGTACTTAAAATTAAATCTAATGAGTTTACTAGCTAGTTATATCAGGATACTTTCTTAGCCTTGTCTTTAATCCTGAAATGATTTAAAAAAAAATTTAAAGAGAAGGCACAAATTAAAAAAAAAGCCATAGGAACAACAGGTAGTTTGAAATTTTGTTTTAAATATTATAGTAGTAATATTTTCATTTAAAAAGAAGATAAAATTTTTTTCGCTTGCCCTTCTTCCCTTTCTCCTGAATTCTTCATGAGAGAGGATCATGGTTAACAGTTCAGAGTGAATTGTTCCAAACTTTTACCTTTGCATTTACAAACATGGACACTCACAGAACACAGCTACAACGCTAGGTGGAGCCAGAAAATGAAACAAATCAGGGATTTACTGCTTTGTAACTGTTGACTTGTACACTAAAGGAAGCCTAAGGGAACTCAGGAAGCTTTCAGGAGCAAATCGTAGGACTTGTCTACCTTGTAAGACACTGGCACTGATAATCAAACCATGCTTCATAGTGCCGTCTTTGCCTCAGTTATCACAGAGCTCTCTGTCTCCTGGTCATTTGTTCTGTTTACTCAGTACATTACCAAATTTTGATCTAGGTCCCCTCCCCTCATTCCCAAGCCTTTCTGCCATACCCTTTAGACTTCCTCCTCTGTGATCAGGAAACTCCCCTATATCATCAACCCCTTTTTAGAATGTTTACTTTTTTGCCTTATCTGAAACTGTGACAACATTTTTCCTTTATATCCCACATACGTCAGCACCAGAAAGTGGGTAGATGTTGTTCTTGCTCTCTGTTGCCTCATTCAGACCATTAATACTCTTTCTCCAGCTAAATTCTTTGTCCTTTTTCGCTAGTCTTTCCCAGTTATGTTACTGCCCTCTCATTCATTGATGACTGGAGTTCTTAATTATAAATTTAAACCCTTCTTCTTTTGGCATTCTTTGTGACTTTGGTATCTTTGTAATGAGTCACCTAGAATCTTGGCCTCTCCCTTCGTTGACTTCATTTCCAGTGACATTTTCTTTACTTCCTTCCAGACCCCGGCCTGAACACTTGTCCTCGGCATTACCAGAAGGGATGCTCCACTTTTGAAATCTTGATATAAACGTTCTATTCTACTCTTTGCCTACCTCCACCTATTCTGTTCTTCACATTCACTGTTACAGTTTTCTGACCTATCAAGACGTACCCATTGATTTCATACCATCCTCACTGTTTATCCCAATATTCTCCTCCTAGGCTTGGGCCTAGATTTTTATTGCCCGTCATTCAGTTGCTCCTTAGCACATACTCTTGGCTCTTAGGCTCTCTCCTTATCTTGGGTGAAAGCTGATTCCTTTTTTATGCTCGGAGGTGGAATTGGTAGTCCTTCTTACTCCCTGTTGCTCATGCAGATCATTATTTGCTTCCTTTTTTGCTGGAGAAAACACCTAACCGAGTTTCAAGTTAAATTCATGATCATAAACCTTGGCAGTTTTACCAGGTTTATTTAGTGGATGTGTCACCATTGCATTGGGGTTTGTTGGGTGTAATCAGAAAACAACTGGACTCTTTCCCCTCATTTCCTTTTTAAAACTCCTCTGGGACTGATTTTTTCACTGGCCTTGTCCATGTTCAGAGTCCCAGTCTCATTTCAATAATTAAAATATCAAGTCCTATTTAATATTCCAAACTTCATTTACATATGGGGTTTTCTCCTTGCTCAGTTGGGCCTGCCTCTGGCTTTGGAAACCTCCATGGGAAGAGGAGATTCAGGTGGACATTGCAGGTGGTTTCCAGGTGTTTCCTGTTGCAAACGGTGCTGTCGTGAATGTCTGTGTGGAGGAAGAGTAGTGTAGAAGTTGAGCATTGATGCTGGAGTTTTGAAATCCCATCTCTGCTTTATTAGCTGTGTAACCTTAGACAAGTTACTCACCCTTTCTATACCTGTTTCCTCATCTGTAAAGTGGGGGATAATAATAGTGTCTGCTAGGTGGTCTGCTGTGAGGATTAAATATAGATTAATGTGTAGAGCTATTAGAATAGTGTTCAAAAAAATGTCATAAATACATCTTTGTGCTTATATACAAATGTTTCTTTTGGATGATTAAATTTTTAAAATAGTGATTTCATTTTGTACTTAATTATTTCTGATACCGGTAAATAAAGTGCCTTTTGGTAAAACATAACTCATTTATCTTTTTATCTATTTTTTGCTTTTTCTCAGACTTTTATGATCACATAATATAAATCTTTATGATTAATGCCACTGGTATTATCTAATGCTAGTGTCCCGCATATTTTACACATAGGGACCCCTCTTACATTTTCTTCTATCTATGGGGAACTGGTTAAATATAGTCTTTGAAGGATTAAGATTTTTGGCTCTTAATATCAAAGTAAAAAAATACATACTTTAAGAAAATGCTATGGCTTGCCCAGCCAGTGTTGCTCAGTGGTTGAGCATCACTCCATGAAGCTGGAGATCATGGTTCAATTCCTGGTCAGAACACATGCCCATGCTGTGGGCTCGATCTCTGGTAGGGGGTGTGTAGGAGGCAGCCGATCGATGATTCTTTCTCATCATTGATATTTTTCTTTCTCTTCCTCTCCCTTTCCTCTCTCTGAAATAAATAAAAAACATTTAAACAAATGTTATGACTTAATTAACAATAATGATGATAACAGTTGACAGTAAAAGTAATAATGATGTCCACTCTTATATAGTGCTTACTAGTTCAAACCTTACTCTGTGTAAGGTGATCTTAGATTCATATCACTAAGAAAGTCTTACAGCCCTTTGTAGTTAACATAGCAAATTCACATATTTTATAGCATTAATTTCTCAGAGTAACTCTGAAATAGATAGGGTAAATAGTTTTATTTCAGTATAATAAATGAGACTGAGGTGAAGTGATTTGCCAGAGATTACATAGTTAGTAAGCATTAGAGCCATACTTAAAGCTAGCTTCTTTCTTTAAGTCTATACAAAAGCCATAATGGGTGAGTTACACCTTTTTAGACATCAGTGGTTCTCAGTCAGAGGTGGTTTCCCCTCCAGCTGACGTTTGGCACTGTTTGGAGACACTTTTGGTTGTCATAATGAGTGGGAATGCTCCTAGCACCCAGTGGATGGAAGCCAAGGAGGCCTTTCAACATCCTGTAGCGCATAGGACATCTCCCACAGCAGTGACTTGTGTGGTCCAGAATGTCTAGAAGGCTTAGGTTGAAAAGCTGCTATACAGTAATGATTGATGACATGGGACAAAGATTGTGAAATTTTGTTTGGTAAAATTTTACTGATAAAAAGCAGATTTACTCCAAACTTCAGTTTCTCCCTTTCTTCAACTGGTCTTAGATTTAGGCTGTAAAACTCAGTAAATACCCTACAAGTAAAATTCATGATCAGAAGAAGTTGAAGATGTGATGAGATTGAAGATTGGAACAAATCTGCTGCCCATAAGTAAAATCTTTGAAAGAAGGACTCCTGTTTAGAGGCCTTAAGTTTATTGTTCTTTTCCTCACCAGGTTGCTTCCCCGGGGGTGTGCATTGGGTTTCAGTTGGGAAACAAGACAAATCCGGGCTTCTGATGAAACTGCAGAATCTTTGTATGCGGTTGGACCAGGATGAGAGCAGCTCCCAGAGGCTTCCACTTAATATTGAAGAGGCTAAAGACCGTCTCCGCATTCTGATGCTGCGCAAACACCCAAGGTACAGACGGTCAAATAATGAAGTCCCAAGGAGACTTAACTACTGACATCTTGAGAGCATCATATCCTTTCCTTGCTGTTTGGTAGAGGGTCTAAGAAAGAACCATTGCTTTCCTGCTGTTCTCTCGCACGTATTTAAAAAAAAAAAAAAAAAGTAGCTTCCACTGGCCTAAAATTGCTACTTTTCTCTTCTTCGTCTCCTACCTACCATATCATCTCTTATGTACCATTGTCGGCTCTCAGGAAATAGTGGTCTTTGCTAGAAAATGCAGGCTTCTTGCCCTGACTCCGTTGTTTCTAATGGGTTAGCATAGAACAAGAGAGTAAATGCAGGCAACTGGTAGAAGACTGAGCCAGGAAGGAATTTTTATTTAATGGGACCCTTTTATTGTGTTGTCTTAATTTTTGGGTATACTTGTAACTTATATTTCCATGTACTTCAAGTTTGTTTTATTTGTTTATTTCAATAATTCATTAATTCATTCAACTACCAATATAATTATGTGCCAGGCACTGTTACCAGCTATTTCACAATTTCCACTAAGCCAGAAGGAAGACAGCAGCTTAGTTGCTGTTTGTGTGGGGAGTATAACTGGTGATTCAGTCAGTAGTTTGGTTTCCATGATCTAGTGGCCATTTCTTTCATTTGCTCATTTAAGGAGCATCGAGTGTTGTGCCTTGGTCAGTGCTGCAAGTACAGAGGTGATAAAGCATTCCTTAGGAGTAGAACAGTAAATGGGGCAGGAATTAGGTGATGGCATGGGTACACCTGATGATGTAAGACACTGTCCTGTGTAATAGTTGCTAAGTATGGCAGTGATTCTCAAATTGGTAAGGGGGTTGATATTAGAATATTAGGTGAGGAGTACTTTTTGGAAAAAGCGTTTTCTAGATGATTATGATGGATACTCACTATAGAGGGAAGCTCTCTTTTCTCTGGCTTTTGTCTCCTCCAGATCCCTCCATCATCTCCCCTTCCCCTTGATAGTCACTAGTATCTATTTTCCTGGAGGAGTAGAATTGAGACTACTAACCATTCCCACCCCCACCCCCCCTTTTTTTTGCTCAGTAATTTCTCCCTAATCCCACTTCTCTTCTTTGCAAATTAAAAGTGACTTCTGTTTAGGAAAATATTGTCACCACTCTCAGATGCATCAGACCATGGCTTATAACACCAGTCATTTTGTTTCTCTCTCAGCATCATTTTGGTTTATGCTTTTGCAATTCTCCAAACTGCATGTGCACCTAGAATCTTCTTTTGTAGTGTTCAGAAGTGGAGTGCCGTTCATACAAAAACACTAGTGTGTAATTATGCTATCAGGTTTTAGTTGTGTGTTTTTTTTATTTGTTCTGGTGAGTTTAAAAAGGTTTTTGGAGAGACCAGTTAGGAATTGGCACAGAGGTTCTCTGTCGTCATGAATAAACAAACTGGTTTCTTGGCTGGAAAATACCCCACTAGAGTATCACATGAAAAGTAATCTGTTGGTGCATTCTATTAGGTCGGAACATATGAAATTGCTAGCTTTGTAGGTAAAAAAAGGTTAAGAGTCATCATTGTTCTATGATTCATTCTAATGCTAACCTGAGCCCCGTTCTCATTAGGTTTTGGTGCTTAAAGACTGAATAGGAAAAATCCCATCACATGGATAGTTCTTTTTAGGCACTAGGTGGCTGATTTCTAATACTTACAGCCCTCTTTTTAGAGATCCCTTAACTTTAATATGCGTTGATTTTGGGTGGGAAGAAGGGGAAGGTTCACATTTTTTTGCCTGAATTTGGATCAATATACAGGGATGGGCAAAAGTAGGTTTACAGTTATCCGTATGGAAAATAATACAATAATTAATCAATAATAGTACAAGAATAAACTTTAGCCTCCTCAGGACTGTAACCTACTTTTGCCCCACCCTGTGTTGTGAAGGGGATATTAGCAAAGAGGAAGAATCATGAGACATCTCTTTTTTCTTTTCTTGTTTTATAAGTTTGAAAAAGTGGTGGCATTCTCTTTTTTAAAAGGAAGCTTAAAATAAATGTCAGTGACTCAATACAGTTCTTTTAATTAGGTCTCTGCTGATCTTGGATGATATTTGGGATCCCTGGGTGTTAAAAGCTTTTGACAGTCAGTGCCAGATTCTTCTTACAACCAGAGACAAGAGTGTTACAGATTCAGTGATGGGTATGGATTATTAATTTACTCTTTACTACCTTTGTGTTTTAAGTCAATTGCATTTAAATATTGGCACACCAAATGACTTCCTGTGTCTTGTGATTTTGCAGGTCCTAAGTATGTCGTCCCCGTGGAGAGTAGCTTAGGAAAAGAGAAAGGACTTGAAATCTTATCCCTTTTTGTTAACATGAAGAAAGCGGATTTGCCAGAAGAAGCTCATAGTATTATAAAAGAGTGTAAAGGTAGAGTTACTTACTTTGTGTATGAGGGGCTAGAGAGATGTTAATTTACACTGTGGTATAAATTAAGCTAATGAATAGGACAGTTTAGCACATGAACATCCAAACACTTCACTAGAATACTTAGTATTTTAGGTTCTTTTCTGATACCCTAAATGTGTAATAACTTAATGTGTCATGGTATCTTGGTATTCATTCATTCATTCATTCATTCATTCATTCATTAAAACATTAATGAGCTCCCATGGTATGTTAGCGTGAAGACATGACCTCTGCTGTCAAAGAACAAAAAAACGTAGTGATAGTTTTCAATTTTTTTGGTTGGGATTTTATAAAAATAGTATTCTAATTGCTAAGTAAAAACTGGTTTTCTCTTCCTAGCTTGCAATTTTTACTAGTGAAGTTAAACTTTTTACTTATTGAATTTTTGCATTTTAAGAAATTATCCTTGACTCACTTTTCTTTTGTGATATACATATTTTTAATTGACTTTTAGGTAATCTATTGAAGCTGTTAGCCCTTTTTCATGTTTTTTCAAACATTTTCCCCAATGTTTTTGTTTGCCTTTTAATTTCATTAGTAGTCTTTTTAAAATACAGAAACTTAAACTTTTTTTTTAAATCCTCACCCAAGGATATGTTTTTATGGATTTGAGAGAGAGAGAGACAAAGAGAGAGAGAACCAGAGACACATCGATAGGTTGCCTCCTGTATACTCCCTGACTGGGGATCAAAACAGCCATCTGGGTATGTGCCCTGACTGGGAATCAAACCCACAGCTTGTTGGTGTGCCGGACAATGCCCAACCAGTTGAGTCACCTAGCCAGCGCCAGAAGTTTAAACTTTTATGTAATCAAATCTATTAGCAGTTAAGATTACTTTTTCCATTGTGGTTAATGCATGGAAATACATTTTGTTTTTCTTTCTGCCATCAAATAGGTACTTGGATTTGAGTTAATTGATTTAAAAAAAAATCTTAAACTTAGGAGAAATACCTGATTTTTATTATTATAAAGCTCATGCATATCCATTTTGAAACTGTGTGAATCTATAAAGAAAATATAGAAACTATTCATAATCTGATAATTTTTAGTATCATAAGAGTATTTCTTCCAGTTTTTTAGGACATATAAAACTTTGGAAAAAATTATCAAGATTATAATGTGGTATACATCATTTAAAACCAGGTCCTTATTATATAACAAACTTGAGCATTTTACCATGCCATTAAATATCTTTTGAAAAAATTTACCAATGGCATAATATTGTGATGTACTTTAAATTGAGTCATTTCTGTTATTGTTTGAGATTTTTCATTGTTTTAAATAATTCTGTGATGAATATCCTTAAACGAAATATTTCTTATTTCTAATGACTTACTTAAAATAAATACCTAAAATGAACCCAAGAGTTAAAAATACTTTAAGGTTTTGGATATCTATATACAGCAATAAATTGATTCTTAACTTAGTAGTAATTCTGAAATGAGACAGTACTAACACAGTGACTTTCATTTAGGTTCTCCTCTTGTAGTGTCTTTGATTGGTGCTCTTTTACGTGATTTTCCTGAACGCTGGGGGTACTACCTCAGGCAACTTCAGAATAAGCAGTTTAGGAGGATAAGGAAGTCTTCATCTTATGATTATGAGGCTCTGGATGAAGCCATGTCCATAAGTGTTGAAATGCTCCGAGAAGACATCAAAGGTTATTACACAGATCTTTCCGTCTTGCAGAAGGATGTTAAGGTGCCTACAAAGGTAATAGAAGGACCAAGAATCCTCACCCGTGGGTATTTATGGCATGTAACCAAGGCTATTATTACAGAGGATTTTGGAAACATAAGATCCACGTGACTGAGGTGGTAGGGTGGAAGGTTCAGAAGTCCCCCTGCTCTCAGTCTCCATCAAGGGCACGATGTTGAACTGCGAAGGGTTACGTATTTTTCAGTGGTTCTAATGAAGCTGGAGAAGCAGCCGGCTTCTTTCTGTCTTTCTTTTCTCTCTTGAGGAATGGTTGAGCTTCTTTTTATGAAATAGATTCTTATTCAGGGCTTTGAGATGTGATTTACTTTGTGTGTTAACACCTTGTCTGCAGTCCTGATCATTGTACTCTGACTCCTAGGTGTTATGTGTTCTCTGGGACATGGAAACCGAAGAAGTTGAAGACATACTGCAGGAGTTTGTTAATAAGTCTCTGTTATTCTGTGATCGAAATGGAAAATCATTTTGTTATTATTTGCATGATCTTCAAGTAGATTTCCTTACAGAGAAGAACCGCAGCCAGCTTCAGGTACTTGCACCTCTATACATTCTTTTATTTTTTAACTCTTTATTTTGAAATAATTTTAGGCACAGAAAAGTTGCAAAACAGTGCAGAGATTCTGCGCATATACCCTTCACTTAGCTCTCCGAAAGTTAAAACCTTTACATAACTATAATGTTACTAATTCACAGACTTTATATTTGGTGTTTACCAGTTTTCCCACTAATGTCTTTTTTGTGGTCCAAATCCAATTCAGGATTCCATATTGCATTTAATTGTCATATTCCCCTTGTTTTTCTCAAATCTATGAAAATTCCTCAGCTTTCTTGTATATCTTTCATGGTCACTTCTGAGGAGTACTAGCTAGTTATTTTGTACATTGTCTTTTAGTTTGGGTTTATCTGATGTTTTCTCCTTACTAGATTAAATTACATATTTTTGGCAAGAATACCACAGAAATGAAGTTGTGTCCTTCTCGGCACATCATATCAGACTGTTGATATATCTGATTATCAGTGATGTTACCATTGATCACTTGGCTAAAGTGGCATCTACCAATATCTCCACTGTAAAGTTGCTGTTTTTTTCATTTTGTTAATTATAATTCATAAGTATCTTGTGGAGAGATTCTCTGTATATTCTTAAATAGCTTTGGAAGCTGGAGTTACTGTGATGTTTAGGTTATGAAATTGTTTCTTTCCTCTGAAATGTTTCATTTATGTTTCAGGATCTGCATAAGAAGGTAATCACTCAGTTCCAGAGACATCACCAACTACATACTCTTTCACCAGATCAGGAGGACTGCATGTACTGGTCCAATTTTCTGGCCTATCACATGGCCAGTGCCGATATGCACAAAGTAAGATGACTGATTTAAAAATTATTTTCTTTCATCTCACTTTAATTTAATCCTGTGTTTAGAATTTATTTTTATTTTTTAACGAGCTTAATTCACTTTATTTTTCTGGTAGCCGCAGCTGGAGCATGGGTCCTTTGCACAGAAACTCTGGTGTGGGTCTTTACAAGATGGTCAGTGAGTTCCTGATAGGGAGACTTGGTGAAAAACAGTCTCTTTCCAGAGACCTGGTGTGAGATAGCTATAGGTCTTAGAGATGGCATCAAAGGTGGCCTTGGTGACTTTCCCCACGGTAGCAGTGCAGCCCCTGGCCAAGCATAGCAGTCATCGATACCAGCCATCATCAGCAGCTTCTTGGGCACGGGCTGAGATGATGCCAGTGTCCCTGGGGGCGAGGATGAGGCACACCAGTACAGAGCCACAGCTGCCAGTCACCTTGCAAAGGACGAGTGTGGGGTTTGCCAGTCTTATTTCCCCAGTAGCCTTGCTGCACAGGGACAATAGAGAGCTTGGCCAGGATGATGGCCCCACGTATGGCAGTGGCTACTTCCTTTGAGCACTTAACACCCAGACCAACATGCCCATTGTAGTCCCCAATGGCGACAAATGCCTTGAACCAGGTCCTCTGGCCAGCCTGTGTCTGCTTTTGCACAGACATAATCTTCAAAACCTTGTCCTTGAGGGTGCCCCCAAGAAGAAGTCAGTGTTCTCAGATTCCTTGATGGGCAAGGAGAAGAGATAGATCTTCTCCAGGGACTTGATCTTCATGTCCTTGACCAGGCGGCCCGGCTTGGTGACAGGGATCCACTCCTTGTCCTCAGTCTTGCCTCCGTGAGCTCCGCAGCCTCGGCCCTGACCCTGGCCACGACCTCTGCTGTGGATGCTGCTGCCAAATCCTCTATGGAAGCTTCTGCTGCCTCTGATTCCAGGGCCCCTGGGGCCACCTGGCCCTCCCGCAGCACTGGTGTCATCTGCCATTTGGTCTTTCCTCAGGAAAGAACTAGAATTTTTTTATTAGTAAAAATAGAATTATAGACTATGTAAGTATTTTTGTTACTATTTTTACCTGAAGTTATTTAAAACGGTACCTTAGTAACTATTGCAGTAAATGAATCACCTGAAAATTAACTTTCTTTTATGAACAGTAGCTTTTTTTTTTTTTTTAAATATATCATTATTGAATTCAGAGAGAGGAAAGAAGAGGTAGAGAGAGACATAGAAAACCAATGATGAGAGAGTCATTGATCGGCTGCCTCCTGCATGCCCCTGACTGGGGATCAAGCCCACAACCCGGGCATATGCCCTGACCGGGAATCGAACCTTGATCTCCTGGATCCTAGATTGATGCTCAACCACTGAGCCACGCCCAGCTGGGCATTTCTTTATTAATTTGTTTTTAAGTTTTGAGAGGAAATGGAGGGTGGGAAAGTATAGTCATTCATTCAACAAATATTTTTTGAGTGCCAGTTATGTACTGGTATTGTTACTCATTGTGAGGCTTTGCTACAGCCACAAAGACCCTCCTGTCATTGAGCTTACATTCTTGGGGGAGACTGACAGTGGACAAATAAATGTATACTATGTCAGGGGGTAGTAAGTGCTCAGAAGAAGAAAGCATGGAAGGAGAAAGAAAGTGATGATATAGGGGTAGCAACATCATGATTTGCTGATGAATTTGGTGTTCATTATTAGAGAAGAGGCAAAGATGACTCTAAGCTGTGCAGTGGAAGGATTAGAGCTGCCATGAACTGAGATAGTGCTGTCTGTGGGTCGAACAAGTATTTTTGGGGGTGGGTAAAGGTTAGTAACTCATTTTGAGTATATTAAGTCTGATATACATATTAAGACATCTAATTGGAAATATTGAGCACATAGTTGGATATATAAATCTAGATTTCTGGGGAAGATTATGGATTAAAGATAACATTTGGGAATCATTAGCACATAGATGATATTTGAAGTCCTAACTACCAACTAACTACTACAAGTGTTAACATTTTGGAAAACCATATGTACTTTTGAGTAATTTTTCTATGCTTAGGTACATTATTTTTTGGTTACACAAATAGTGTCGTAGCCTGTTTTTCTTTTTTATGTTTAATAATCTACATTGGAATAAAGGTATTCCAATAAATATCAATGTCCTAATTGACTTAGCCAAACTGTTGTTGAACATTTAGTTTGTTTTCCGTTTTTTGCCTGTATAATGCTGTAATGAATATTTCTGTTTGTCTTTACACCTATATTATTTCCTTTGAAAATTCTTTGAAGTGGAATTAATGGGTTGATGCATTTAAAAAAACCCCAACTTTTGATATGTATGATAGTGTGGCAGGATTCAGTTTCTTCTCTCTTTTTTAGCCTTTTTTTCTTGATGATTAAAGATAATGATTTATTTTCATTGGAACAATATGGAAAAACTAAAAGGAGGAAATGAAGGTTGCACTCAGCAATGGCCAGTGCTCTTGTGGATACCTGTTTAGGTCATTTTGTTGCTCCATACACACACTTGTTTTTTAAAACCCAAACTGTATTATCATATGTAATAGAAATAGAGTCTTATATCTTGCTTTTTTTTTGCACTTAATTATATATCATCCTCTTTTTATGTCAATTTATATAGAGCAACATAATTTAAAAAGCGGTGTTCTATTTGATTGTGTAGCTACATTAGATTAACCAGTTGCTTATGAACAATAAGCTTGCTTAAGCACACACACCTGATTATTTTCTGAGGATACATATTGATTTCTAGGTCAAATGGTGTATACTGCTTGAATTTTAATACAGGTTGCCAAACTGTCCTCCATAAGGGTTGATTTGACTTATATCACTACTAATAGTGTAAGAGAGTGGTCATTTCCTCTGATTCTAGCCAATTTTCTTATCACTCCTTTTAGTCTTTAGAAATCTGGTTGATATTAAAAAATAGTAAATCTTAAGTGATGGGTAAGTCTTAGTTACACAGGCAGCCCTGCACTGAAGTTTTCACCAATTCAGACCCTGTTTCAAAGACCCTTTTAAGAAAACATGATGAAAAAGAATTCTTTAAAAAGTTTTTGTTAATCTTTTACAATTAATTAAAATGGTATCAGTGTTCCCATCCAAGATTAAAGTGAGTTTAGAGGGAGAGGGTGAAGTAATGACCTTGCACTTCTCGTGTGCACAGAGAGTTTAGGTAACATGTTACTTTCTCATGAGAGTGCTTTGGGATGAGTTTGTCCTAGCCTTTAATCCTTGCTCCTGTAACTAACTGCCTATGAGCCATTATAGGTAAGTGGAATTAGCTACTGCTTGAGATAAATTATATTCCATGAAAGCAATGGTAATGGTTAGGCAGTGAGAATTGTTATAATAATAGCAGCTAAAATTTACTAAGGATTTGCTTTGCACCAGGATTTGTTCCAAGCATTTTATACATACTAACTCATTTAAAGTTTTATCACAACCCTGCAAGATAGACTATTAGTATCACCATTTACAAAATGAGGAAACTAAGGTTCCAGCCTGGTGGTGGCAGAAAAAAAGTAAATCTTTGTTGTTTCACTTTGATTACTGGTGAGGTTTTTTGCCATTTGTACTTTTTATTTTGTGAGTTGGTTCCCATCCATTGCCTTTACCTATTTTTATGTTGGGATGTTTATCTTTTTCCTATTTTTAAAGAATTTGCTATAAAAATGAATGATGAGTATTATTCATTTTTATTAATACTGTCCTCTGTCATACTTGTTATAAGTATTTTTTCCTGCTTTATTTTTTTTGTCTTAAATTTTATTTACATTGCTCTCTACTATATTGAGGATTTGAGTTTTTATGTTGTTAAATGCACCACCATTTTTCTATTTTATATTTAAGTCTTTAATCCAACTAAAACTTATTTTGAGTTAAGGTGTGAGGTCCATTTTATGGTTCTTTAAAACTATTTATGTGTTCCTTTTCAATAGCTTCCTTTCACTCCGCCTGCCGCCATCTTTAATCTCCTATATATAGCATTTTAAATGAATAAATCAGGAGACCTTGGTTACCACTTCTTGCTTCAAAGTAAATTTGTTTATTTTTGCATTTTCCTTTTTGCTGCTTGTTTTCTTCTATAGCTGGGAATTCTTAGTTGTTCGTATTTACTCTCTGGCAAACTACTATTCATGAAACTACCCTTCGTGAAGGATTGCCACCTTCGGTAGCTTCCTCTTCATCCTTAAATTTGAGATACTGGCTAAGTTTTTCTCAGTAGCATTAGGATAATGATGGTAGATTTAAAATTCTTTGATCTCTTTAACAGGGCTCCTGATCTTATTTATTTATTTTTTTTGAAAAGGAACTTTGTGCTTTAATGTTTTCCCTGGATTGGATTAAAGCAAAAACGGAACTCGTCGGCCCTGCTCATCTGATTCATGAATTTGTGGAATACAGGGATATACTGGATGAAAAGGTATATATTCAAACGAAAAATAAGTCCTGAAAGGACGTGGCTTTTTTGACATCTAAATCGAGGTTCAGTAGTGGGGACGAGCAGAACGGGAGGAATGAAGAGAGAAAGTTGTCTTGCTTGGATGTTTGATCCTAACTAGTCTGATTCCTCACCCATCGGGGATGTGGATTTGATTGAGGTGTGAAAGCTGAAGAAGTAACGTGTTCAGGGTTGGGCTTTTTACTTTTAAAGAATGTGATAAGAAAGTGGTACTTTGATAATGAGATTTTTAGCCTGTGTTTAAAAGATTAAGAGGGTCACTCTGTATTTGTTACCTAAGTGGTTAGTTATTCCGTTTTAGCTCATCAGAGAATATCTCATTTACGCCTTCAAAGTGACAAGATCACAGAGACAGAAAAAGGTCAGGTCTTGGCTCTGGTTATGTTTCTAAGAGATTTCAGTTTGTTCACAGGATTATGCAGTCTGTGAGAATTTCCAGGAGTTTTTATCTTTAAATGGACATCTTCTCGGACGACAGCCATTTCCTAATATTGTACAACTGGGTCTCTGTGAACCGGAAACTTCAGAAGTTTATCAGCAAGCAAAGCTGAAGGCCAAGCAGGAGGCTGACAACGGGATGCTTTACCTAGAGTGGACGTAAGTAGGTTAGGAGAGACCAAAGGGAGCCGTGTGCGCTATGTCATTATTTTTTCAGGTAGTGAGTAAGTTCACTCCAGGAAGACGTAACAACAGTTCTTTGGAAAAGACTGGCACTTTTAATATGTGTTCTTACTGAAAAGTTTTAGAGAAGTAAGCATAGGAGAAATATACATGTTCAAAGAGTCCATAGAAATAGATGCTTGCCTGTATGGCATTTTGACAAGTCATTCTAAATATTCACACCAAATGCTTTACTTGGTGGATGGAATGCAGCAAGCAGTGAAGGACATGGGCTTTGAAGCCACAAACCAATGTTTGAGACTCAGTTCTAAAACCTAACAGTTCTGTGATGTTGAACAAGTTATATGCTCCTTTCTCATACGTAAAATAGAGATAACAGTCCTTTGAGGTTGGTACTGTTTTTGTGAAGTTAAATGAGGTATTGGATGTAGAGTGATTAACACTGTCTTGCACACAGCCCTTGTTAAACTTCCCCTCAACCATGGTTCTTCTAATGCCTAAAGAGGCCCATTTTGCTCTCACCTTAATTTTCTCAATTAGTAAAAGGAAAGCTAAACTACCATCTTTTTAATGCCTGTTACATACAATAGGCTCACATCTTAGTCATTTTATCTTCAAAACAACCTTATAAGGTAAATATTATTTGCCCTATTTTACAAATGAGAAAATTAGGCACAGAGAGGTTGAGACTTGATTATTGATTAGGCTCATGTGGCTTGTTGAATGGGATTTAAACCCTGGGTCTGTGTAGCTTTATTTTCCATGCTTCTATATGCCAAGCTACTCTTATTGCTAGAAATAAGTACAAGTGCTTGTCTAATCACAAGTATAATTTATATATAAATTAAACTCTAGGTTGATGTCAGTGATCTCTATAGCCCTGGGCCCTCTTTCCAAATAAGTCAGGTTGCTATGGATGATTTCCCTAAATTAGTTTAGTTCACACATTTGAACTTCTCTTCTGATGTGCCAAGTAAGCACTGTTACTAGGTTGAACGCTCTTCCCAAGGAGCTCACAACCTAGTAGTGTAGAAAGAAGTTTAAGCAAGTAATTATCATGTGATGAGTGCAACAAAAGCATGTATAAAAAAGGGGTAGAACCGAGAGGTAGGTAATTCACTTGAATGAGTGAGGAATTCTGGGAAGGTTCCATGAAAGAGAGAGTTTTTTTTTAAGTTTCCTCTTGACGTTAAAAATAAAATTATTTATTGATTTGAGAGAGAGAGAGAAACATCAGTTTGTTGTTCCACTCATTTACAGATTCACTGGTTGATTCTTGTATGTGCTCTGACGGGATCAAACCCACAACCTTGGCATACCAGGATGACACTAACCAACTGAACTTTTACAAATTTTTTTATTTAAAATGAAAATTTAATTTCTTGTTGATTTTATTTTTATTTTAAAGTAGTTCATGTTCTTGATTTAAAAAAATCAAACAGTATTAAAGGGATGTAAAATGAATAGTCACCTGCTTACCCACCTTCCCACTTCCTAGAGTTAACCATTGTCTAGCATTTTCTCGGGAAGAAGTTTCACTCTCCCTGGAAGCATCCCCTTAACACATTGAGGTTAGGTTAGATCTGTCTGTGTTCTAGAATACCTGTTTACCCCAGATGATAGCATTGCCTCCTCTTATGGTGATTGCCTGTTTACTTGTCTGTCTCCCATAATAGTACATGTGTTCTGAAGTATAGAATTGTTTGGAGGCTAAAATAACAAGCTGTCTCCAGACTGCCTGGGCTGAATCCCAGTTCTGCTATCTATTAGTTGTGTGTAACTAGGGAAAGTTACTCCGTTTCCCTCACCTAGTGCTACTATTTCATCGCATTGTTGTGAGGATTGAATGAGAGTGTTTGTGTGTACAAACAAGCACACATACATAGTGTGCTCAGAACAGCACCTAGATCATAGAAGGTGCTCAATAAATATTGGTGGTTGTTTTTAAGCATAGCATTTCGTATATTGCTTGGTCCATATAGTTGGTATTCAATAGAAATTTGTGGAAGATTGGTTGAATTCATGTCATAATTAGTGGCTGAAATAGAATTTTAATACTTGGTTTGATAATTAAATGGGTATAGTTCATTATTTTTACTCTTTTATGCTGTTTCTTTTTTTTCATTCTATCAACTGCATTTCAACCTGTGATGTTCTTTCATAGAATGACTAGTCATTCATAGCTGTATTTTTTAACTGGGTTTGACCAAGTCATATTTAAATAATGTTTTATTTTTCAGAACTAGAAAACCTTTTTTTTTTTTTTCCTGTAGAAGGATTTAGGTTGGTATAAGCTTAATTTAACTGAGTTTTAGCTTTCAAAGAAATTATATTTTCATAAATTCATTTGTTATATAATACTTTTTGGCCATCATTGTGACAAGGTCACTTTCTGAGCTTTCTTTGGGGAATTGAGTAGATAAAGGGGAAAGAGTATTTTCTTAGTCTAATGTTCTCTCACCTTTGCTAGTAACTTAACCTGTTTTTCTTTCAAGTTTTCATCAGTCTAGTTCTTATATTATAGTTGTTTGTTTTTTCACTTCTAGTAAAGTGTAAAACTTTCCAGGCAGGGTCTAAGTCTGATTTACCTCTGTGTTTCCTTTTTCTTTTGGTCGGTCTTTTGGGTGGGTAATTTTTTAAAAGAATGATTACATTGGCATCTTTATGTGAAAGGCACTATTTAGAGCAGATACACTCCCATTTTACATATGAGGAAAGGAAACTTACTAGGTTAAGCCATTTGCCTAAGTTTACATACCTAGTAAGTAGTAGAAGTAAGGTTGCTTTTTAGGTTTATACGACTTCAACCTTTGACTCTTAAACACGATACCATTTAATATATTTACTTGTACTCAAAGTGACTGACACTGAAATTCTGACACTGTTCTGATACTTCTCTTATTTCAAGTATTCGTTATGTTCCTTTACCCTTTATCACATGAGAAATAATATAATATTTGTACCTGTGGGATAGCTAGTATTCAGGAGATTTAAGATACACAGAAAATGACATTGCTTTATTTTTATTTCTCTAAGTCTGAATAATTGTAGTTAGAGAAGAGCGGTTTTAAAAGTACATCATTGTAGTGGTGGGTGTAGTGTTATACTTCAGTTAGGAAATGAGCTTCATTTTGCTGTCTCCTTTCCTTCTAAAAGATACGGAGGTTTTTTTGTTTTTTCTGAGGGTATCCTTACATAATGTTTTCTCTGCACATGTTAATATTAAAGTATCAAAGGAAAACAGAAAGCGATGTGTATTTGATTAACTGGATTTCTTCCAACTCAGTGACATTTGTAACACATGACAAATTGCTTGATATAGGGTAGTCCTCTTACAATGCCAATTTTGTTATATTTTGCTCTTTTTCTACAGGTGATCTATGCTGTCATTTACATGTTGGTAATTTAATTTTGAGAATTTTGTATTTGGGGGAATATAACTAAGTTAAAAGACAATTGATTACCGAAAGGAAAGAATTGCTTTTACTCTCATTTATTGGGTTTCTGTTCCTTTTTCCCTTGTATTTAGAAACAAAAAAAACATCAAGAATCTCTCCCGCTTAGTTGTCCGCCCCCATACAGATGCTGTTTACCATGCTTGCTTTTCTGAGGATGGTCACAGAATAGCTTCTTGTGGAGCTGATAAAACCTTACAGGTAAAATATATCCCTCGGGAAACATTGAAAAGGGCATGTATCTAATACCGTGCATATTAGAATATATTTAAATCCTAAAAGTCATGTAAATTGCACATATTAGAAATAGAGAAACCCAAATCTCTGGAACAGTTTATGAAAGCTTTCTCTAGAGATTTTAAAGATATGGTAGTGTGTTTTCATAATTCTAAACTTGCCAAGTGACATAGAAGTGCTTTTCACTCCACCAGTCAGTTGTCATCACACATGTGCCAGCTAAAGGTAATGAGGAAATGATAGTTGTTGAAAGACATAGGACTTTCTAGCACAGCAAACAGGGCTCTGACTGAAAAACAGTGATTATGTAAAATACCTATTTTATAACCAGCTCAGGCATAGATTTCTGATAGTAAAACATTTAACAATGGACCATTCTCTATTAAAGCATACGAATTCGGACAGAAATTCTGATATTTGGAGTGATTTTGCCAAGGTTCATTTTTGTTGAAAAATAGCAGTGATTAGGATCTTTTAAGGAAATATTTTTATTAATAATGGTTTGTGGTTAAGTGATACATAGTAAAATAATTTTGTTGTTGTTTGTGTAGGTGTTCAAAGCTGAAACAGGAGAGAAACTTCTAGAAATCAAAGCTCATGAGGATGAAGTGCTTTGCTGTGCATTCTCTACAGATGACAAATTTATAGCAACCTGCTCAGCGGATAAAAAAGTGAAGGTAGGGAGACATTTTCCTCTTGAGTTGTAATCACCACAGAATTCATTTTCTTTTTCCATAATACAGGGACTAGGATAAGAAGGGTTAAAGAACTCTTGCCTGTTGATCTTCTAACTTGAGGCAATTCAGTTTTTATCCATTGTAAATTAACGCTGTCTGAAAAACCTTTATATTTAAGCCCCAGCAAAAATACCTAGGTTGATCAGCCTGAGATATTTACCAGGCAGCTGGGAAAAACAATTTAAAATTAATAAATTTGCCTGCCATTTATTAACTGGTCTGTGGGTTAAATATCAGTTGAAATCTTTGAGTCTACTGTGATTGGAAATGTTACTGCATAAAATTATTATCTGAGATTGGATTCTGTTGTAAAATGCGTAATTTGTGAAGTACAGCCCACATTTTTTACTTTTATAAACTGGCTTATATTCAGTGCAAAACCACATGGATAAACAAATTAAGAATTAGGTTACTAGTCTAAAAAGTAAATAGAGAAAAATAAAATACAGGATAATTTTTATCTTTGTGAATTTTTCTTTCTTGTCTCTTGTCCCTAAATTTGGCTTTTAGCCAGAGCATTTATGCAGAATTTAAGAGAAATTGAAGTCCAAGGGAATGTTTTGTCTGATAAATGGTGGGGGAATGTCACTTTACGCCTTTTTCAAAGGGGTGTGGAGTGCTAAATCTGACTAGGTGGGGTGGGTCTTAGTGGACCTGGGAGTAAGAACGTTGGCTTGGGAGTTATCCTGGAGTTTCTACCCACTTGAAGAAGGCTCTGGAGTGTCCAGAATAAATTGAGATCTTGGAAAAATCTAGTTCTTGATATATTGGACTCTCATAGGTGACTTTACAACCAGCTAGTTAACATACTCTGTAACCTCTACTCTGAGTCAGACTTGCAGTTGGCCCTCTGAGCATTTCCAAAGTCAAAGTTCTATGGAGTAAAAGGAAATAATACCAAATTTCTGTTTTCTAAGAATTCAAAATTTAAAGCAAGAGGCAGAAATTAAAAGAACTTCAAAATAAAGGAAACTCTCTGGACCTCTGGGGAGTGCTTTGATGAGATAAAAAGAAAATGCTATGAGAGGGGCATTAGTACCTCTGAGAAGTCCAAAGCCCAGTGAAGATTGATTAGGTAATTTATTTCTTTTGTTTGTTGTTAGATGGATTAGACTGCTTAGTTAGTCGTCTTACATAGTAATTAGAACGATGATTATTTTTTATTGTGAACTCAATACTGCATGAGGCTTTATACTACACATTTTCTTATATTACATTATCAATTTACACTGCAACTTGCAAAGTAAGTATTGATCTTATTTTTCACATGAGGAAATAGGTTCAGATATGAAGTTATTTGTTCAAACTCATATTAACTAATAACTAATGGAGCCAGGGTGGAAAGCTAGGCTTCCCTCAGAATCTAAAGTCTTTATTTTTTTCATCAAGCCATCTGCCTTTACTTATTTATTGTTCCTTTTAAGTCAACAGAACACTTACCGTATCCTTTTTCCTGTTTGATACCATGCTTGTATAGGACAGGTATGAGTATCCCCACTTTATAGAGGAGGGAACTGAGCAAGGTGAAGGTAAATTAAGGACTTGACCAGGGATACACAAATTAAGAGTGGTAGAGCCAGGGCTTGGATTTCACCCTTCCCAGCTGAGGCCCATTATTCCATCCCCACTTCGCACTTCTGTGCCTGCATTTGTTCATATGAACATCTGAAGTCTTGCCCTTGAAGAATGTAATGTTTTCAGGAGATTCCAGTTATGCTATAGAAAGACACGTGCGTAGACTTGCAAGTAAGCTTTTTAAAAAACATCCTGGCAAAATATTGACCTATTTTAGGGAAGCAGCAGTATTTATTAGCATCATGTGTGACTGGGAAAATCTGGCAGACAGGACAGATAGCACCCACAAAGCAACTCACATTTTCTTTGCTTTATTTGAAAATGAAGGGTAATGGTAAATTTTATTTTTTTAAAATTTTCTTTAGATTTGGAATTCTGTGACTGGGCAACTGGTGCACAGCTATGAAGAGCACTCAGAGCAGGTCAACTGCTGCCACTTCACTCACAACAGACATCACCTTCTCTTAGCTACTGGGTCAAGTGACTGCGTCCTCAAAGTAAGTGTGGATAATGAGAATTATGTGGATAAATTTGTAAACACACCAGAACATCTCCTTTGATTTTCTCATGCATTGTATTAATCAGTGTTCTTCTGGCTGCAGTGAAACAAACTCTCGTATTAGCTTAAGCAACAACAAAGATATTATTGGCTCATGTAATTGGAAAGAGTAGAGGGAGCTGGCTTCAGGCAGAGCTGATTCCAAATGCTTAAACTACGTTCTCAGGCTCTAACTCCCTGTCCATTTCTAGACTCTGCTTCCCTCTTTGTCGGTTCAGGCATGTTCTCTCTGTGTGACAGGAAATGTGGCTATTCTCAGCTCGGTTTATATAGGTCGTACAGCTCATAATCATAGAGGAAGAGAAACTTGCTCTTTCCCAGATCCAGTAGATTTAATTTTCGAGAAAGCTGTAGTTGACCTGGTTCAGGTTATATACTCATTGCTAAATAACCCTACTGGTCAGTAGGGTGGCATCCTTAGATTAACCAAGGGTCAGAAGTGTAGTCATATAGAAATTGGACAGAGGAAGTGAAGTCAGCTCCATTTGAATTTTAAGTGGGATTTGATTCAAAAGAGAGGTTTTTGTTATCAGAAGAAGGAAGGGAAAGGTGCCAATAGGAAAAAAATGTAAAAAACCCCAAAACCTCTAAAACTCTAAAACAAAAAATACTCATTTCACATGTTTCATAATGTTTTATAATTACAAATTATAAAAGATCCTATCTTTTTTTTAAGTGCCATACTAAAGAAAGCTAGATTAAATTTTCTTGGATCCCAGAAATACCTGCTTATTTCTTTTGTATTCTGTTTTGGTTTGGTTTCTGCCCTTCTTTTCTAAATGTCACACCATTTTTGCAATGGGATATTGCATTTTTGGGTGGAGTGGGTAAAACATTTTAGTTTGGAAAACCTCATAGACTCTATGTTTTGACATTTAAATAAGATTTTTAAAAAAAATTTAAGAAAATATGGAAACATTTGTTGAAAATTGCCCCCCTTCCCTTTTCAGGAAGCTGAACCTTTTTCTTTTTTTTTTTTCCCTCCAAAAGAGAACTTGCATACCGGCTCAGTGTGCAGAAGAGATAAAGCCCACTTTTCTTGTCGATGTGGGGGTATGGGCCTGCATTTCTAGTCTTTCTTGTTCCCTTTCTTACTCCCCCCCCCCCC